TGCTGATTAAAACTATTACATAAAATAGTTGTAAATGAGTAAAGCCATTTTTCATTGGTATTTATTTAGAAAGGTTTAAATTGTCAAGGAACACATTAGTGGTCTAATTAGCTGAAACAGTACAATAAGAGTATATCCTGTTCTAATGATACTTCAGTCATTTACTTAATATGGTTAATAATAATAATTATAAAAGTAATTTTTTCTAGCTGACTCTTAGCAGCTCTGTTGCCTGTCTTTTTACGTATAAAGGGATTCCTTTTTACTCTAGGTTGTATTAGTAAAGATGCAAAACTCTTAAGAAACTTATTACAGTAACTTAAGAGAAACAGACATTTAAAGCACATTTTTAAACCTTCACTATTGCAAGGACTGTTACCTACCCATCTGCCAGGACTCTGAAAATCTGCAGTGTTGAGAAAAGTAACAGCCAAACCAAAAGAATCCTTTGCTCTAGCATGCATACAAAATTCAGCTAAATCAAGGAACAGGACAGACAAAGTCCCAGAACCTGAAGATTTACAGAGGTACTCCTCAATAACTCAGTGTGCCTGCCTACTTATCCTGCTGCCACCGCACGCCAAGAGGATGTCCCACGCTTGTGTGGTTATGAGTTCTCCTAACCATATAGACTGATGTTTTAGGAAAGGACACGACTTCCCTGCAAGCTCAGCCAGCACTGCAGAGCAGCTTTTCAAACATTTCCCATTGCTACAAGTGTGCTGACCACGAAAAGGTTGGAAAGGGTGCAGAAGAAACACGCCGCTGGTTAACCAAGAGCAGCACTACACAGCCAGGCAGAGGTCTGCTCTGCCGGAGGTAGCATGCACAGCACTGCTTTCCAGAAGCTAAGCTGGAGTGTACCACCGATACAAAGCAGGACCAGGAGAGTACATCAGCAGAATGGATATCAGCAAACACTGGGTTACCCTGAGACCTGGAATAATGGAAAAGGAGAAAATTCAAAGAACAGAGTCACAAGTTTAAGCATTAAAGCCAAAATAATCTGTTGTAAATTGGGAGCTAAGAGCTTGGAAGCATCTTAAGGAAAGAATAAGGAAGGAAGGTTCAGGTATGCTAAAAGTGACCAGTGTTAGAACAGATGAATAATACAGTATTATATAGAGGTTTTACACAGAAGGGTATTACTGCTGTCTAGAAAAACATGAGGAGAATAAGCAAAGGAAGGAAGAGAACTACTTAAGCTGCAAAGCAGTAAGGCAATACATCTTAAAAATGTTGGCATGAAACAGCTAAAAGTAAATCTAAGCCAGAAAGAAGAAGGTTCACAAGCACAGCAATATTTTGGCCCAGGAACAGCTTTCTACACAAAGAGGGAGGGTGAACTTTCCACAGTGTATAAAACAGGACAAATCCTTCAGGAAAGGGACAGTATGAGTAGATGCCTACGGTAGCCACAGTCTGGACTTGGTGGTCAAATTGAAGCTTGTACTCTTTCCATGGAACAGAAGCAAATGGTGAGAAAGTGGTGGGATTGGGGGACAGTGTTTCCTCTCTAGCAGAGCACCAACAGGAGCCAAGATAATATCTTTGGAATAGTGTGTTTAATGCACAGCTTTCTCTCTTGGGTCATTAAAACAAAAATAGCATAACTTGCTATTCACATAATTTTTCACTGCTGCACACTCCCCGGTTAAAAGCGGATTCCTTTCTTCTTGCGCTGAAGTAACAAAAGCACAGAAGAATTTCAAAGCAATTTCTGTCTACAAATGCTCATGTTTCTTTGCTCTCCACCCTGCCTCCCAAATTCTTTATTTTCTGTTGAGAATCTGGATTCTGCTGGAATCCCAGAAGTGAACAGGGAGAAAGGCAACAGCTTGCCAAGGTGCACCAGCCATTGCAAGCTCGTCTGGCTTAGCAAATGACAACTGAACAGTCATTAAATAACACTCTCTCGATCAGTCCCAGCATGACTCAGCAGCATTCCTAGTCTTTCTGAGAGAAAAAAAAATCCACACAGTGTGGCTGGATGGCACAGTAAGGAATATGATGTTTAAAACCTAACTTAATTTTGTTGTTTAAAAATAGTATTTACGTTGCCTGCAGCATTTCTCTGTAAGAATAAGAATCAGATTATTTCTTTAAGTTTCTGAAGAACTTGTACCAACTGTGAACAATCTGTAGTAGATCGAGTTCCTCTGAACATCAAAAGCACAGGGTCCACTGAGATCTCTTTCATATTCAAAAAAATAAAACCTGCTTGAAGACTAACAAATTGGTCAGGTATTTGTGATTTCTGAGAACTTTTAAATGTCTCTCAAGTGCCCAGGGCTGCTAATTAGAATAAAAAACATTCAGAAGATCATTGCTGATTATACAAGACAAACACAGAGAGAAGCTTAAACTTCCCAGGGAAGTCTACAGCAGTTAATCTTTTTGACATTGATGAAACTCATCCACCGTGAAGTCCAAAACCCCAAACTGTCGTAGCAATTCTTATTTATCTAACTACACTGCCTTGTTTTTCCCAACTTTCAGGAAGTGTAACTACCACTGCTATAATTGGAGCAAGATGCTATGGTTTTTAAATCTACTTACTAAAGCTAAACCTTGAGTTTTGTATTTGACACCTTCCCCAATGACATACAGCTGTGTTTCATAATGCTTTAGATAATTTTCAGTGAAAGCAAACTGTAAGGTGTTTTATTCTCTATGCCTCTCCCTAACCTTTTAAGAGCCTGGTCTTTCAGTCCTCCAAGACCTGCTCATGTTGCAAATGTTTGTAAGGACTGCAGGACATGAGCCAAAGACAGCTTGAACTTTCCTCCCTACCTGTTAGTTTGGGGTCCTATCCCTAGCTGTTCTCCACCAGCTTTTCCCATTCCTGGGAGGATTTTTTAGATCTGCCTTGAAGTAATTTAAATGCTGCTGCTGAGGTTCCTTGGCATTCATGGACACCCTCCTGCCTTTTCTCTCCTTCCTCAACAGTTTTTAGTTACCAGTTATAACGAGGAAGCTTGTTAGACTTCTGCTAACCTAGTATGTGTTAGCAAGATTTATTAACATGTAATAAAACTTTATAAAACCATTTTACAGCCTTGCTTCTAGATTTCTTGTTTTCCTATTGTATAGTCCATTGATCAAGAACAAAATTCTATTGAAAAATCAATAGCTGGAACTGTTTTTACATTTTCAAACACAAAGGTGCCGTTAATAACTTAATAATTTGACATGTAGGACATGCATAGTGGCACTGAAATATTTAAAGAAGAGTATGAATACTGAGTAGAGTAAGTAACAGCTTTGACATCACCTTCAGAAATAACAAAGTATTCACAAAGAAAGAAGATAAACCTTGTAATTTCTCTTGCCTATCCGTAACTCCTTTTCCTCATGAACCCACCATTTCAATGTCAGAGACTTTGGCAAAACTAATTAAACATGCATTCAGTTTTGTACAATGGATTGACCCAACTTTTGCATCAGAGATATAAATGCACCTAATTTCTGTCATGATAGTTTAATAGCTTAATGACCTCTAAAGGCAGAAACATCAGTTTCTTTCCGTTCATGTATGTTGTTCTGTTTCTGTTTAGGTATCTTTGTATGCTTACCCCAGTACATCTCCCACCCACATTTACTGCTTTCTCTCAGTCCTCCATTTGCAAGCTTACCCACCCTACCCCCACGATGTATTTCTAGCAGCTGGGTTCTCTCCTACACAGGTCATCCCTTCTCATACTATGAAAGAGCAAGCCAACCACATAGACATAAACGAGGCTACAATGAAAGAAAAAAACCTTTTTTTATTAAAAAACCCACCTCCACCACAAATGAACTGATTTTGATGCCTTTAATCTAATGGCGTATACCTTCACAGATGTACATAAACCAATGCTAAAAGGCAGAGCTATTAAAGTGGTTTTCATACTTAAAAGTATATTAATGCATACATGCAAGATTCTGATTAAAAATCTTTCACCGTAAGTGATTACACAATGATTCTTAAATTTTTAAGAGTATGACACTATTCCAGAACATTGTAGAACCAATACATATAAATGTGCTCTTAAAAATACCTTCCTCATTAAGCACATTTCCACAGTCTGACCCTTTTTGAAAAGCTTGACTATTTGTTCATCTATCTACAGAAAAGTACATGTTATATAGTACTTCATATTCTTTAGACAATAGCTAAGTATTTGAGGACAGTATAGGTAAGCACAGTTGAAAGAGTTCCCACCTGCTTCTCTCATAAAGAAAATAGCATCAACATGTACCAATGTGTGCAACCGCTCTGAATTCTTGTACTCATTTTTGCACTGGAGAAATATCTATGAAATTCTTTTCTAACACCAGTCATTTCATATGGGTATCATAGAATTATAGAAAGGTTTGGGTTGGAAGGGACCATCTAGTTCCAACGCCACTGCCATGAGCAGGGACACCTTCCACTAGACCAGGTTGCTCAAAGCCCCATCCAGCCTGGCCTTGAACACTGCCAGGGAGGGGGCAGCCACAGCTTCTCTGGGAAACCTGTGCCAGTGTCTCACCACCCTCACAGGAAAGAATTTTTTCCTAATATCTAATCTAAATCTCCCCTCTTTCAGTTTGAAACCGTTACCTCTCATCCTGTCACTACCCTCCCTGACCAAGAGTCCCTCCCCACCGTTCCTGCAGGCCCCCTTTAAGTACTGGAAGGCCGCTATAAGGTCTCCCCGGAGCCTTCTCTTCTCCAGGCTGAACAACCCCAACTCTCTCAGCCTGTCCTCACAGGGGAGGTGCTCCAGCCCCCTGGTCACCTTCGTGGCCCTCCTCTGGACCTGCTCAAGCAGGTCCATATTTTTCTTGTGCTGAGGGCCCCAGAGCTGGACTCCCAGTGGTGTCTCACCAGATTGGTGCAGAAGGGGAGAATCACCTCCCTTGACCTGCTAGTTACAGTTCTTTTGATGTCGCCCAGGATGTGATTGCTGGGACAAAATCAAATTTCGCTTTCTTGATAGGAAGTTTCATTTCAACATCAAATTTTGAATTCTTACCATGGTCTGCAAGTTCGGACATGCAGAGTTGACTTGTCTCATTTCCACATGGTCCATCTTGTCCTGTGGATACGCAGTCGCATGTAATGACTGGCTGAGAATGAATTAGGGCTTCTGAAGTCTGCTCATCAGATTCCTTAGTTGAAGCAGCATGGAGAAACAGGTACAGTTAGAGCTTTCAGTAGGATCACAATACAATGGTTGCCCTGATCTACACAACTACTGGGACTTGTATTAGGCAAATACTAAAAAAAAAAAAAATCCTAACTTTTTTGTAAATGGTCAGTAGTGACTCAGCCATAAGCAGACAGATTTAACTTTTCTTTTTTCTCCAGGAATTAGAAACTAGACTGTATGCAAAAGAAAAGGTAGATGCCAAAGCACATAAAACCTCATTATTTCTGTGATGCTTTCACTGACTATTTCTAAACTGACACTGTTCTCTCTATGATAAGACGTAGTGCTAGAGCTGAACAGGCCTATCATCTGTTGCAGGCAGCTTAAAAGCAAAGGACAGCTTACACTGGGAGTCATTCTAAAACTTCATTCTTACTAAAAAGCCATTTGAAATGTTAATATTCTTAACTAATCAAATTAAAAGAACTCACAGCCATGCCAAATTAGAGTGCTTAAAGGATTACAATTCTAATCTTATCTTGAAAATTAGTGTATTTTGAACTCTGATGTCACACAGACTGTCAGTAAGTATATTTCAGAGAGCAGATTTAGATTTAAAGGTGACTTAATAAAAGAAAATTGTGCAATTAATAGAGTTTGTCAAACTATATCTGAATAACTAAATGTACTTTCCCTCATCACAGATCCACAGGTTCAGCTAAGCAGTCCAGACTTTAATGCATTTCCAAATTATTAATCTCAGAACAGGACTTTGCCTCTAATGCTAAAAAACCACGTGGGAAACAAAAAAGTGTTATACACCGAATGTTCATAAATGAGGCCTCCAAAACAATCACCCATACTTACATGTAGAACATTGACATTCAGCTGCTGAAAATTATGGAACCTGAATTCTTGCATTCTTTTGATATTTTCTTGATATTTTTCTTCTGCCAGCTGTCTGTAAATAAGAATACTTGTGTTTAGGATGTGATATCAAGGAGCTTACAAAGGGTTCTTCTAAAAGAAGATGTAGAAAAACAAATTCCATAATTAGACTCCCATGGCACCAAATGTTCATGGCATCTACTCAAGATGTGGTAAGTTTTAGTGAACTCACAAAGAGATTTCAGGCCTTATTTCAAACACTATTTTATTTTTCTTTCACAACTTGCATAACAATTGAGAAATAGTAAATTATTAGTCACAGTCTTTTTTTTTGTTTGTTTCTTCCAAAGATCTTAAATACTTTGGACCTTATTCCACCATGTAGCGCAGGGACCTTTCAGCTGAAGACAGGCATGCACCATTTGCGTGTTAGGAACACTTCACCTGAGGGGGAGTTGGTAACTTCGTTTTTCTATATGGGACTACCTAAGCCAGGTGCTATTTTAAGCAGCTCTTCCAGTTTCCATTACTATACTCCCTTCCCATCCATCTCTAGATTTGCACTGCTGCAAGCACATCTCCGGTCTGAGAAGGTGCCGTTTTTCCACTGTTTCAAATACTTTCAGCCAGAGTCAACTGGCAATAACCCAGAGCTGAATTTAGATCCATTTTAAAGATTCATGACTGAGAAGAAGGTTTGAAGATTAATACGTTGCCTTTATATTGCAAAGTAAATATATTTAATTCTGTTGCTGGGGAAAAAAATCCATGAAAATCTAAATAGAAAACACTAAAATTCAAGAAAGTAAAGAAAATGAAAAGCAAACTAGAACTATCCTGCAACTAGTATTATTTCCTAATCTCCATCCATTTTAAAAAAGTGAGAGATAGACTTCCTATTTATTCCTATATACATTCCATTTAACAACAAAAATTGGCCTACCATATTATTGAAAACACCATGCAGAAGAAGTGTTAAGTTTTATAACTTTTATACAGCGGTTTCAATTCAAGGAGGTTTTTTTAAAATGAGAATAAATTTACATACCATCTCTAGTATCAAATGCAATGGTAACTGTCAGACAGACATAAGTGCTCACCAGACATATTTTCCAAAAGGAAATTAAGGTCTTTAGGTTTTTTGTTTGTAGCTTTTGGGTATGGGCACTGCAAGTTGGCACAACAAACACCAGGATGTGATTTTACGGAGCATTTTTGCTCAACTGCAATTACTATTGATTTTGCAGGTATACGTAGCTGCAGAGTTACCGAGGCCATAAATTCAGACTTGATGTCACTTCACAGTATTTTCCTGTACTAGGACATCATTGCTTTACTGAATTGCTAACCGACTTTGGCACAACAGGGTTAAGATGCCGATTCTCATGATCAAAAATAATTATTCCCTCTATTACTCTCTATAGATGACTGAGTAAACATTTGTTAATTTATACTGCACTTTGCAAAATGCTTTTGAAGAAAACATTAAAAATTAATTAAAAATTAATGTGATGCTTTTCCAATTTCCATTCATACCAAATAAAATATTGAATATTTTTAACTGGGAAAAACTCAAGTGTGTCACCAAAACAGTATATTTTTCTTTTTATTTAAAAAGGAATCCATGCATAGACAGATAGCCTTCCAGCTGTTTCTCACATTTCACTCAGAAATGGTACTTATTCTCCTTCAAATCCCCCCTTTTATTATGTCTCACTCAATAAAAACCCCATAAATCATAAATCCTTTATAACATGCCCATTACCCTCATTTGATCATTTGGTACAACTGTTCTCTGACTTATTGGCAAATCTCTTAGGCCAAAACAAGTGACAAAAGCTGGACTGCAACTAAATGTCCAACTCCTCAGGCTGTGCAATCCTTAAAACAATAAGTCATTAAAAAAAGTCTCCTATTGTAACACATCTGAAAACCTCTCATATATTTAACCAGAAACACAGTGCTCAAAACACCAGTTTTGGGCTAATGTTCTGACTTTTCATTCTACATAAATAATTATTGTGATTTAACTCATTCAAAATCCCCATTCACTTTGAGTAGCTAAAGACCCTTTCTATTTTTAATTTTACCTTGACAGTTCTAACTCTCTTGTTGGACTGCTGGATGGGGAAAACTGGATGGTGAAGGCAAAACACTAACATCATGCTCTACTTACTTCAACTTCTTTGTTTTCTCATCTGCAGCATTTAACTTCCTCAGTCTCATTCGTTCCCGCGGTGTCATTTTCTGTACTTCAGACAGTTCCTGCAAAGTTTGCAAGTGAACTTTCCTCTGCCTGAAAGTGAATGCATGCAAACCCATCTTCATATAAAAATGTAAATATCAGTATTTTGATTCGATATTGAAACATAGTGACATTTCAAATGGAATAATTAGGAAGTCACAGGTACTATAACAGAATAAACAGGCTTTAGTTTGAAAAGCAAACGTCTTTTTTAAATTGAAATATTTAAACTTAGACTTAGGTTCATGAAGAACTTGAATCATTTCAGGCATTTCAGGTGAGAATGAAAAAGGTAAACTCAGCTCCTTAAAAGAATAAACGTTGAAGCATAGTGAAATATTTACCCTGCCAGGCTTAATTATTAAGCATATTCCAAGTACAAAGGCAGTCTTTAAATGAGAACCACAGAAAAAAGTATTATTACCCATATATTTTGCATTTATTGTTACAAGCTGTCTAGAATAAAAGAGAATATTAATGTGTCTTTAATGACAACTATAATTATCATGTTGTCCTCTTGAATTTCTGGTCCTAATCAATAATAACAATGCACTGGTAAAATGGTCTCCATAGACCATCTCTGAAAGCTGAGCATGAATTATTGGCACATGTATCCCAGCTGTATTTATCAACATGGGAGCGCAATATTACTACTGTATCGGAAAAAGAATATTAATCTCAGATTTTTATCTCACATACTACAGTAATTACAAAAATTAAATCATAGTTTGAAATGCCTTAGCACTCATGTTTCACTTACACCAATGTATATTTATTATGCCATACATTTATGATATGAAGTATTCATTTTGAATTACTATTTTTGCTCTTATGAGATAAATTCACTTCTGATCATCTAAAAGCCCAGTTTTGTAACGATACAAATTGTAACACTCCTTCTGGACTCTCATTTTGAAAACAGGATTTTAATAAATTAGTAGTTTTCATTATGCTTTTCAAATGTTGACTATAGAGGGAAATAATGCAAAGATATGAAAGATAATGTGAAATATGAAAGACTAAGGACAAAGGCAAGTTCAGTTATTCATAAGAATGGAACTAACTCTTCAAGTATGAATAATAAGTATGCCATATTTCTTGTCCTCTGTAAAAAACTCTAATTTAAATTATAAGAATCTCTTGGGCAAAAAAACCCATTTTTCATCCAAGTCGAAACTGAACTTGTACAGCTTCATGCTTACTTAAATATTTAAAACTTATGACTTGCATGGCACTAGAATAAAGTAAGCCATTAGAGGCCTTTACTAGAAGAAACTAAACTCTACTGTACATGGCAAAAATAATCCCTGTTGAGAAAAAAAAATCATAAATACAAAGTAGCAGTGATTGAGGAGGACACCATAACAAACAGCTCCTTGTACACTCACTTAGACTACAGTATTGCTTCGTTACAACAGATGTGGGAAATTAACTATGTTTAAATTATTTCTCATCCACTTTTCTGCGCTCTACCATTTTCCAGGTATTTTTATTTCATCTTACCTACCTCTTTAGATCTGGGATTGCAGAAATTATTCGATATTTTGCTTACCAGTAGCAATATAGACAGCTAATATTCTCATAAACACAATAAAAGTCATAATAAGATAATGACTTTATGCATATTTGAAACATTTAGCCAAAAATAGACTGCAGCACATTTGAAGATAATTTATGGTGAAGCTTCTCCTTGGATAGTTTTCTGAAATTGTTGCCTTGAATTTGAGAACCTCAAGGTAAATTTCCATGCTCAGACAAAACCAGCTGCATCTATAATCTTTTGGTGCGTATAGATATTTTGAAATCTTGTACCCACAAAATAAAGGCATGAATTAAAAGTTTCTTGAAGACTCTATTAATTTATGTCTCAGTAAGCATTAAATACTCAATATAATTCATCCAGACTTGGCATAATATTTGGGCAAGAGTTCAGTGCCCTAAAACTATTTAAGGTATATCGCTAAGGAACCTCTCTGCAGTTAACTACATTTAACTTAAAGAGGCAGGAATCCACTCAAAGTTAATTGAATGAACTTGAATACAGCAGCCACAGACAAAACATTCTGTGATTCTGTGAAAAGATACCTCTAACACTTCCCAGCTATTGCATATCTACCTGTCTGACTCTTGTATTTCCAGTATACTAGCAATGAGTCATTTCTAGCAGAAGCAATCATGCAGAATAGTAAGGTCAAAAACTTGACAGCAGTCTCAGCTGGCTCCATTTGCTGTCATTTATTAGAGAGTTGTTACTAGCCAATACAGGTATGATTTATTGTTGCATTTTACATTTATGCTTGCAGAGTTCACCAACCTATTTATACTAAAGGTACCTATTTATACCAAAACAGAGAACTTTGGTCTCAATACTCATCTGTCAATGAGAGAGAGCACAGAAGTGACAGAGTGGAAACCCAAACCCCAATTTCTAGAGAAGAGAGCTTTACAGATACACACGTAGTAGTTAAACTGGTTAAAAAGATGTACAGAAGATTTTCCTGTGTTGAATTCCACTGTCTTTGCTCTGCTTTCTTCCTACCACTGTTACTAAATAACACTTTCTTTGGAAAAGCTGAAGCTGGTCATCTCTCCCAAAGGGATGCTTGCAAGCAGCAGAATTGGCTGCATCTGCAAAGTGACCACAGCTGCAAAACTGTGGGTCCTCTCCAAGAGCAGAGGGGGAAGGCCCATTGCCTCAAAGGCACTGCTAATTCTGGATTGGAGCATGGGCTTTATTGCTGTTACCCAATAATTCAAAAGATATTTCAGACAGTCTTGACAGTTATTTAGAGGAAACAAGAAACAGGGATGTCCGTTGCATCCTCATGGGATCACAAACTCTCAATTTTGAGTGTGCTAGCTCCTAACAGAGCAAAATCATGTACAGAAATCTCAGGGACAGCAAGCAAAGAGGAGGGCCAGCTGCCATTGAAACTGCAGAGCTAATTTACAAAGGCAAAAAATGAAGTTGCCCATGCTGACATTTGCTTTAATCATTGCAGCGTTGTAATTAATTAATTGAATATATATTCAGTGCCTAAAAGAGAGATCATGTGCAAAGGCACTACTTATGTAAGAGCCAAGAAACACCGTTAGCTTTAATTTCTCACTATAATTACAAGACAAATATAATAGTATCCTATGGATGTATTAGCTGAATATTAGTTTAATATTCAATGTATACGATTTTAGTTTGTTGTCCTTTAGGAAACATAGTTTTCACATTCAATAATTAGTAGGTACACAAACAGCAGCACTATAAATGATCATGACATAACTAAAATGGTGATCTAAACCTCCAAATGTAAAGACAAAGCTCATAATTTACATAGCAATTGGTACTATTTTGTACTAAATTAACATATGCGTATACTACACACGCATGCGCAATTTACACGGTTATATAATAAAAATATTTGATCTGCAAATCCTTTTTTTCCCCCTAAATCTTAATTATGTATGTCACTAATGTAGTTGCTCTTCTGTATTTCTGGGGAATGGGTCCCTCTAAACATAAAGAGCTATGAGATTAACACAAGTGTTTACAACATTATATTATTTGGCAACACTGTGATTTCATACACTGCTGTCCATAAAACACTTAAAAATACTTACACAGCATCAAAAATGGGAGCAGCTTCTTTCTGCCAGTTAAGTGCCTTGTCTTTCACAGTTGTGTTTGTGAACTTGTACTGTATATTCTGCAAGGAAATAGAATAGAAGTGGTATCAACACTTGAGGCTAAAGCGATCCAGACTCTTCAGCTATGACCCAATACAGTCCTAATGACTGTGCAGTTTTCCTTCCCCACCCAGGGAAGTGGTTGAGTCAACATCCCTTAACATGTTTAAAGTTCATTTAGATGTGGTGCTCGGAGATATGGTTTAGGGATGTACTTGGCAGAGTAGAGTTGATGGTTGGACTTGATGATCTCAAAGGTCTTTTCTAACCTGAATGATTCTATGATTCTTAGAAAGCCAAATAATATATACACTGAAGCAGAGACCAAAAGAACAAGATGCATTGTTCTTCATTAAAACTGTGACTAACCAGAACAGTCTAGAGATTATATGTATCCAGGCCCGAATGATTTGCACTTGTTACACATAAATAAATGCCCATTCTCCTTATTGCTCATAACATTTAAAAGGGGATACATTCAGCACGTGAAGTGACAAGGGCTTAATTTCTCACTGCCTTGCTACCTCAGTCATATTTGTAACTTAACGCTGAAAGCCCTCCAGATTAATATTTCCACAAACTGCTATCTAATTATTTTTTCTCAACACATTTTATCTGCCTCCATTCTGCTTTTGCAAAATACATAATAAACCAGTAAGTGTACAGCTATCACTTTTTCCTATGTACCTGTAGTTGTTCATCAATATAAGGGATTTTTAGTATCTCTCCTGCTGCTGGTCTCAATGAAGGATTCTTATTTAACATGCTGAAACATTAAAAAACAAAAGTCATAATTAAGCGATTTTCCAAATTAACTTAAAAAGCTGCTAAACAAGAAAATAACATACCTGCACAGTACAGCATTGAGTTTGCTTGGATATCTATCAGGAAGTGAAGGTGTATCACCTTCCACAATTTTTAACACAACAGACAAAAAACCGTGTCCAGTAAATGCACGGTTCATGCAGCACATCTCATATAAAATGCATCCCAGAGACCTTGAAGAATAAGATAATAGGAACAGTATAAACAGTGTTTTTGAAAGTAGCATGCACAGTGACATTACAGTAAGCAAAACCACAATGGTATGCCCTTTTCTCCTGGGAACAGGATATTTCATTATCATGTTACGCTTTTCTTCTGAAATTTTTTTATTTAGATCACAAATTAGTAACTTTATAAACAGGAGAAATCATCATTCTATTTCCATAATTGCAGGCACAAACTTAAATTCTGTATATAAATACACATTTTCCTATATATTTATATGTAAAAATAAAGTTAAAGCCTATTATATGAATTACCTGAAGTGGTTACTCATTAAATTAAGAATGACTCTTTTTAATTAATGACTGACAGAGAAAACAGTTTAGTAGTGTTTGGACACAGGTTTGTTTAAATTGGTTTTGCAAATTAATTTCTGACAACAAACTGAGGCTAAAATTCAAGTTCAAATTAAATAATGCCAGTTTCAAGTAACAGAAGTGTCTTCCAGTGTGATTTCACTCATTTGGCCACATACTTAAAACAGATTATGAAATCAGTTTCTACTCAAAGAAATATCAAATTTTAGATGAGAGAATCATACTGCAATATTTGAAAGTAAATTTGCTCAATATTTTATTTGGAGAAGAAGAGAAGAAATCTAAACATGTAGGTCTGGAGACAGCTAGGAACCAGTGTCAGCCTTAAATGATTAAAAGCCAGGAGGAATGATGACAAACAATTTTAAATGGGTCTCTAGTTTACCATCACCTTATTCACCAGGCTCTCATTCACCAGTCCTAATGGAGATCATAAAAGATCACCAAGTCGAACATTTTAACATAAACACTTTCATAGTAATTTATATAATGACTATTCGTAACAGTTTGCACTTCAGCTGGGTTCTGTCTGTCAAATGTTTTTTTAAAAATAGGGGAGTTGAGCTTTCCAGGCTTTGACGTATGCTCCGCGTTACCTCCAGTTTGCAGACAGGAGAACTGAGCGAGGTCATAGAAAATGCTGGTGAGAACCAGCCATAGGATCAGACTCATCTAAGTAACTAACTTAAATATCAGAGCAACTTTAGTCTTAAAGTAGCATGTGATTGTGGTATTTATAATTTACAGAAGCAGTATGAAAATAAAGCAAAGTGATAATAAGTAGAAGTACCTACATGTGAATGGCTTTGATGAAAAGCATATAAATGATATCTTTGAAAAGAAAATAATGAATAAAGTTTCAGTTATTCATTTCAGTTAAAGAAAAGGAATTTATTCAGTCCGTCTGGCAATAAAAGAAGAAGAGCAAAGAATCCAGGCTCTACATACCATGCAAATAAGGAAGAGGAGAGAGAATAAGGGGGCTCGCTCACTGGTACTTTTCAACCAGTATGTGAAAACTATTAGCAGACCATTTTTGTTAACAACGGCATAAAGACCCACTACTGACACACATAAATAATTGCCTAGTTTTTTGAAGACTTAGCTGTCAACCGGCTTTCAAACTTCTAAAATCAGTAAACAGTAATACACAGATGATGATCTACATTTATGATGTAAGTTCAAACTCTGAAACAAGACAATTACTACATGAGAAAATATTTAAAAACAAAAAGAACAACAAAAAAACCCTGCACACATGGCATCTGAAAGCATCAAACAAAAATGGAAACCAGCCAGAGGGAACAAAAAAGGAAGGAAAATCCCAACCTGACAGACTGTACTATAACCGCTTTTTGCAGAATCAATCTGTTTTGGAGGCTGCTTGATTCTGGCAGCTAGGAATTGTTTAATGAGCCATTAAAAGCACAGGATTTGCCACATCAGAGAAGCCCATTTATTCATCCAGTTTAGTGCTCTGACTACACCTGAGGCTTTGGAGAAAGATGAAAAGAACACCCGGGGCATTCTGCTGCAGTCAGGGCCATGAACAGGCTACCCAGGGAAAACCCCATCTGTCCCACAAAAGAAAAATAAAAGGGAAAAAAAAAAAAGAAAAATGAGGGGAAAAAAACTTTTTACTGTAGGATACAATCCTTTGAAATGAAAAAAAATACCTCCTAAGCTAAGAAATACTGCTCTGGGTCCCACAGCAAGGCTATTTCTTCCCAGGAGAAGTGCTAAGCTGCAATTGCCAGAAGGAGTTACCACCAAGCTCTTGCCTCAAGACTGCATTTCTCAGTTCTGTTTCCACAGTTCAGGTCTAAGCATCTTATAAGGAGCAAGAGAAAATTGCTTCATAGTTCCCATAAGCAATCTTCACGTGACCAAAACATATAATTTATTTACTTTTATAATCTTAGCTTGCATAACTGCCCATGTTACAAAATTCTAAAATGGTCATTAAACAATCCAGCCAGTGCATTTGGTTTCACGGCTCCCTATATTCATGAACAGGTTTGCCAAAGGTCCTAAACAGCACTTAATTTCAGCAAAATTGATGTATGACCATTTCACATTGTAGCCACTTATGCTCAAATACATCAATGGAGTATCCAGACAGGTTTCAGTTATTCTCTACAATATCAACTGACAGACCTCTAACTGCTCCTTTGCAGGAGAAATGACCCTGTGGTTCCTGGTGTTAATTGTTTATATAAGCATTGCCATCCTTTTAACATCTTTTGATCTTTTGTAGATCTGTCCAAACTATGTCATAGTTCTTCCAAGGCTGTAAGATCCAAGTTAGCTTTTCAATTAAACTCCAAAAGCCAGATAATATAAATACATATAACTTTGTAGCTTGTATCTCTCAGTCTGATCATACCAGAAGGTCTTAAGAATTTGCTGACTCTAGAGTCTATAAGGAATATGTACATGTACACACACACCATCGTGCTCTTTCAGCCACTGCTTTTCAGATCTTCACTGCTGTTACTGCTGTTTCTGGTAACTACTCTACATAAAATTTGGCAGTAAAAAAAAAAAAAATCGATTTTGAATTGTTAGTATTAAAGAAAAAGACAAACTTGGGGAAAAGCACAGATGAGCAAGAACAATTAAAATGAAAGTCCCAAAATCTGTGGTGTAGGAAGCCCAATTTACCCAAACGCTACAGACAAATCATCTGTCAAAATCTGACAGTACTTGACGGAAGACATAGAGTACAATGGATGTACATGTGACTGTCCTTTCTCTCTGGAAGACAAAAAGGAAGTTATTTATACCTCTCATAGAAAATTTGCTAAGTCTCTGAGTGAAAAAAAGCATTTGTTTCTCAACTAAACTATTTCTGTTATCATTTCTGCTTCTGAGATAAGTTGTAACATATACTATGCACAAATCCTTTGAAAATTTCCTTGATGGAGTTTACCTGACATGCTCATAGCTTTTAAAAGAAGACAGAAATACGATTGTTGATAGCTACTTGCATATAGTTTCTCTCATACACTCAGAAACTAAATACAATATAGTTAGAATAGCCACCATGCAGATGAGTACTTAATATCTGCACTTGAGGACCTACACTGATGCTGGGCAGGCTCCCAGCCAGTACAGGTTTCAGAGTCTCATCTGAGCAACCCCAAGCTCTCACAGTTAGAAAACCTGCAAAAAACTGTGGGTGCAATGCAGGCTAACTTCTAGTGGCAGGCAAATTGTGGTAACGATATTCAGGAGCTGAATGGGGAAATAGATTCTGCTAGGATGGGAGAGAGTGATGCTCAATCCCCAGTATGAAAAAAGCAGGACCTAAACGTGTTTGGAGCCCTTGTGCCAAGGGAATTCCAGTTTACTGGAACAAAAGAGATCTCTGGGGAAGATACACAGCACCCTTTAGCTTCAGGATCATTTGCTGGGGTTGTCATTGACCCATTTAGTAAGTGCGGGCTTTTTAGCTTGCATAAAGATAGTGGAAGGTACAAAGGAACCCCTATTGTTCGGAAAACCTCAGATAAAAAGTTAGCGCACACCCAATGCATTAGTGAGTAATCAAAACTGCTTTTAGTTTACTTTTCCCTGGAAAGAAATGTTTTCCTTTTGCTTGAATAGTTCTGGGAGTTAGAGGATGCTGATTCTTCTCAGCCTAATGTCACAAAGCCTAAGTCAGTTTAGGCTGGACTGATGCTTTTTAGTCACTACATGGACTGAAATAAAAGCTGATTAAAATTGTTACTTTGTTGGTAGACTTTTATTTAATCTCTCTAGATCTCTGATGGTTTTCTTAATAACATTGCTGATGGGTCTCCATCTGTATTTGTTCGTGCTGGGAGAACTGATCTGCCATGATTCTTCAACAGTCTCAGCTGGATGACACTGACATAATCTGGGTAGACTCTGACCCACTAGTTCCTACCAACAATATTTAAAAAAAAACAACCCTCCCAAACAACAAAATAAAAACCACACATGCCTTGTAAAATAAAAGAACTAATAAGTTAAATGAGCCTAAGGCCAAAGGATCCAATATATACACCTGGCACATGTGGTTTAACCCAGGGGGTGTGTCCTACTTATTGTGTCCCTATAAGTATGGAGACAGTCAGGCATTTTCCAGTTTTTTTAAGAGTGTGTCAATTGGAACAAGAACTTAGGTTAAACAAGAAGTCTGGAGGCTTTGTCAGTCACAGGGGTTTGATGAAACTTTTACCTGAAAGGGTTTGAAAATAACCCAGCTGCT